TGTAGAAACAATGTCTGTCAACCTAGGGATAAATGAGAAGTTTGGTACAGAGAAACTGGGAAAACTTGTCACATGCCACAACAGAGATGAACCTTGGAGACACCATACTAAATAAACTAGACCAGGGACAAAAGATAAACGTTTATGATTCCACGTCTGTCATGTATGCAAATTCATAAAAAAAAGAAAATAGGAAACTAGCTATTATGGCTGGAGGGGAAGAAAAGAGATGTCTCGTGAACTTTATGTGTATAAAGTGGAAGCATGTGTATATGTGGAAGCAGTGTGGGGGCCTGTGTATAACAATGTGAATAATCTTAGCACTGCTGAACTGTACAATAAAAAGCAATGATGATGACAAGTGTGATTATGTGCTTCCTACCTTGTCAAATACTTCTCAAACTGGATAAATATGCATATAAAACATAAAGTTGAATATTATTCAACAGTAAAAAAAAGAGGTTAAAATAAACTAATGAAACACAGAGTCACTGCTGTGACATGGAAGAGCCTGGGAAATAACATGTTATATAAAGGATACCAGACATGAAAAGTCACATACTATGTGATTTTGCTGTTACTCTCATTCAGACAGATTCTTTTGTCTCACTTGTTGGTCCCATATACAACCAGAGAGAGAGACAGACAGACAGAGAGAGAGTGCCCAACCTGGGGCTCAAACTCAGGGCCTGGTGCTCTACTTAGCTTTTTTTGCTCAAAGCTAGTACTCTACCACTTGAACTATAGCTCTACCTTCTGCTTTTTGGTGATTAATTGGAGACATGAATGTAGATATACATAGTTCCATATGGCTGCTTGAATCTTTGTACCTATTATTTAACTGAGTGTGTGTGTGTGTGTGTGTGTGTGTGTGTTGGCAGCATTTGTAACAAGCCGGAAGTAGATGGAGGTTGGTGGCCTGCTGGTTATTATAAACATTATAGATTCTTTAAGCAGAGTTACATTGTTGGCTTGTTCTTGTTTTGATTCATTTTGCTTAAAAATTCTCCCAAAATTCATTTAAAATTGCAGAGAACTTTCAAAAGAAGTAAATACACCATAATATTCAAGAGGAGGAAGAAAGACCAGAGATTTTTTTTTATAATTTCTAGAAACAAAGCAGATAGGATAAACCACAAAATCTACAACTGGGGAGTTGTAGATAAGGAACCATATATAAAGGCTCCTGTCTGTCATCTCAGCTACTCAAGAGGCCATCAGAAACACCACAGTTCTAGACCAAACTAGGCCAAAAAAAAGTTATAAGACCCCATTCCAATCAATCAAAAGCTAGGCTTGGTCTGTCTGCTACAGCAGGAGGTTGTAGGATTGGAGTCCATATTGGCTAGAGTAGAAAGGATGACCCAATCTCAAAAAAATAACCAAAGATATAAATAACAAAAGGGCTGAGTCTGTGGCTTAAGTGGTAGCATGCCTATTTAGGCAAAAGGCTCCAAGTTCAAATTCCAGTATCACCAAAAAAAAAAAAAAGGATGACAAAGATACTCTGGGTAGAACCTTGGAGAGTTCTCAACTCAGGTACGGGAAGAGAGTGAATTATGAGTCACCAAGGAACTCCTTTTATCCAATGACCTTTACAAGTGTTTAGTCACCTGCCACCAGATCCACTCCCAGTCATCAGCAAAACCATCCATATGGATAAATGACACGTCCAGCAACGACACTTAGCCAAGAGTTTTCTAACCAAAGCCATTGAGGATTCTACACCTAAACTTTTCTTATGCTCCTCACTGGGTGCAAATGGAGGTGATAATTGTTTGCAACATATATATTGTTTTTATTCTCCAAAAAAATGTTAAAAACATAATGTGTAGCACATTGAAGGTAACACTTAAAGAAACACAAGACTTTCATAAGAGGCCCTGTGATTGCAATACTTTCATAACAGGCCCTGTGGTAACACAAACATCCTTGCTTCCTTGCTAATTCCTTATTATCACAAAGATTCCCAGGAAAGCTCCTGTTCTTGAACCCCTGTTTTCACTGTATTTGATGTTGGTATAATTTGAGGAGGAGAAGGGACAGAACAAATTGTTTAAACAGGGATACAGGTTGACCCATTGCAACAATAAGATGTACAAGATGCTATGTTGAAAAACAAATTTTACGATTTAGGCAGGGGGTAGGGAGGGTGGAGAGGTGGGGGGAGTGGGAGGGAATGTAGTTGTGGAGGTGGGAAGGAAGGGATGGTAGGGGAAAAACAAAGGAAGAAACAACAATGTTTGATAAGAAATGTACTCATTACCTTGCTCATGTAACTGTAACCCCTCCTCTGTACAGCATTTTAACGATAAAAATGCATTTAATAAAAAATGAATGATTCTTTTATGACAATTGCAATATAGATCCAGTTATCAATCCCATACATTTAACCACCAAGATATATTCCTGTTACGATTTTCCATACATTCTTCCTAACTTTGATGTTCACATAGATAGTTTTTTAAAAGTGTTTCAAGTCACAAAAACTACTTTGTACACTTTAGTTCATCTTCAACACCTATAACACTCTTACATCACCAGTTTTCAATAAATATTAGTTGAATGACTGAGCTTATTCCTATTCAATAAACATTGTTTTGTGACCTCCTTTTTAACTTCTGCTTGGAATTCTCATGTATGAATTATTATCACTTACCTAATCAAGCCCTGGAGGACTGAGATGAAGGCATTGTGGGGGGCACAGACATATGTCATGCAGTTCCCCTTCCAGGGAAGCCTGTGGCCCAGCTCCTGGGAAGACCTGCCACCATCTGTTTTCAGATCCTTTCAACAATTACTTCATGGGATGAGTGCAGTAGCTATGATGAGTGCTTATAATTCCAGGTACTTAGGAAGCAGAAATAGGATGATCACAGTTTGAGGCCAGCCCAGGCAAAAATATGCAAGACCCTATCAAAAAAAAATAACTCATCTAAAGGGATTTAGGGATTTCAAGGGATGGAGGTGCAGCTCAAGTGGAACACTTGCCTACCAAGCACAAGGCCTTGAGTTCAATCCCAGTACCACCAAACAAAAGCAAAGCAGAATTGTTTCACCAGAAGAAAGCTACCTTCCCAGGGCAACGCATATTTGTTCTTCCACACAGACAAATCATGGAAGGAGCCCAGTGTAGAACTATAAAAGGCCAGCATGTCATATATTGCACTTGTGTGGAGCACATGGGCAGCAAAGATGGCGATGGGAGGGGGTTGAATGGGCAGAGCCCAATTTACTGTAGAGCACATGGGCAGCCAAGATGGCGCTGGGAGAGAGTAGAGTGGGCAGAGCCCAATTAATCTGCCAATCAGTGCCTAACCAGCCCGTGAAGGCTTAGGTGCATGATAGGGTGTGACCTTGACAGTGATTGGTTCCTCTTCCTCCCTTGCCATGCCACCCGCCCTTTTTGTCTTTAAAAGGGGCTGCCCTCTGTTAATAAACGAGTTTTCTACCTGCTGGATTTGGCTCCCCGTTGTGTCTGATTGCCTCCCGGGCTGAGGGAGGCTGGGGAACGGGCGAGCGCCGTCCTTACCTTTCCTCGGACCCCGTCCGTCTTTCATGGGATGGACGAAGACCCAACACACTTGTCTCTCTCTCTCTCTCTCTCTCTCTCTCTCTCTCTCTCTCTCTCTCTATCTCTCTCTCTCTCTCTGCCTGATCTTGTTTCTCCCCTGCCCTTCCATGGCTGAGAATCTCAGGACACACTGTAATAATTACACTGCATCCTGGACCATGCAAAGATCTGTCTCCAAGGCCACTCCTGAAGAAGCTCACTTGTGAGCTCTGATGAATGCACTTGGTAGTTTCCTGCCTTCCTACCTTTACCCATCCCAACACCAGGTTAAATGAGCCACAGTGCAACAGGGGTATGTTATTCATCCATTCAAGGAAATGTTCTGGGTGCTATGTGAGACATGTGCTAACACCCGAGAAAAAAGAAGAGGAAAGGGAAGAGGGAAGGGATGTAGGTTTGCTTCAGAAGCACATACACTAAGGCTGAAACAGTATCGAAAAGACTTGCATGGCCTCTGCACAAGAATGAAATGCAAAATTCATAAGTATTCCTTATTTTCAGAAAATACATAAAGACTAAAAAGGAAGGAAGTTGGATATCACCAAGTAACTACTCAAACACCTTCTTGGGAGTGGGGGGTGCTGAATTTCTACTGATATGTTTGATTCCAAGATATCTTGCTCCTTAATTAGTCTTTAGACCGCTCAGTATGTGAGTATTATGTGGGCAGTTAGATCAGGAAGCTAAAGAAACTAAAACTAGGCCAGCTGCTGTCATCCTAGCTACTCAAGAGGCTCAGATCAGAACATCGAGGTTCAAAGCCAGCTTGGATGGAAAAGTCTGTGAGAATCTTCTCTCTAATTAGCCAGGAAGAAGTGGGAAGTAGAGCATAACATTGAACTAAAAAGCCAAGCAGGAGTGTGAGGCCCTGCGTTTAAATCCCAGTACCAGCATAGAAAGGAAGGAAGGGAGGGAGGGAGGGAGGAAGGAAGAGAGGGAGGGAGGGGAGTGGGGGGGAGAGAAAAAAGTCCCTGAAATTAGACACATTCTGCACAAGCAATACAGTATCAGCATCATTAAAAGTGATCATAAACAGGCCTTTTAATACACAAGCGTAGACATCATGAGCAAATTGTAGCAATCAAAACAAATCAACTAAAAGTTAAAAACCCTGAGTTTGTATTTGAAGAAGAAAAGTCTGGACTTAGGGGGGGAAATCCAAAGAAGTGATGAGCTGAGCCCCAGCTCTGCCAACACAGCTTCCTGCTACTCCCAGCCACAGCCAGGCAGGTTCAGGCAGTATCAGGCTCAGCCCATGTGAGATGCAGTCTCCCAATCACATACCACCCTGCCCCAGGACCAGAGGTTCACAGAAGGGCTGCTGGGTGGAAAGGCACCTGGGGCTGCTCCTAGTGGACTGCAGAGTAAACCGAGTGAAAAGGAGAAGGAGGAGAAGGAGTCTACGGCTCTGGGAGGACACCTCACAGAGATCCACTGCACCCCTCAAGGTACAGTTGTTTTCTTGAGAACAAATAGAGGGATGAGAGGGAAAAGGAGAAATTACATTCTTGGCTCAGAGTCTGTCCCTTTTTGTCACTTAAGATATCATAACCCTTCTTGATCATTCTCTCTAATAATCTTTCCCTTTGTCCCTCAGAGAGAAAGCCTCTGGTCAGAATGAATTCTGACAACTTCAGAAATCTCCCTGCCAACCCTTAATGGGATTTGTGAAGCAATGTACTCACACTAACAGTTCTACCTGATAAATCTATTGATTGGAATAACTCAACAAATTAACTTTATCATCTACAGCCTGTGAATTTTTTTGCTAATTTATTTTTACTCTTTGCTAATTAGTTGTCCAGGATCTGGAGGCCCTACAAGTATAATTTTTGTTCTAACATTTTAATGCAAAATACAACGTAAGTTTCAAATAATACTAATATTATTTTATGCTGATGGCTATAAGCCAAAAAGTACTAATTTTAAATATTTCTTAAAAGGCATTTAAGAATTTTTTTTACTAATTTTGCTTTCTTTTGAAAATTAAAGAAAATGGTAACTGACCGTTTCTTGCCTGTTTGGAGTAAAAGTACAAGAGGATAACTTGGGTTTTATGTATATACATATGACAAGATGTTTTATATACATATATAGCATCATATATACTATGTCATAAACATACATAAAACCATGTTGGTAATATATTTTTCAAGCTTTGTGAAGGAATGTTCTTTTGATTAATCTTCTCGATGAGAAAAAAAAATCATTTGCTTTCTATTTATAGCAAGCTGTTTAACTTTCTGCTTTACCAGACTTCAAAATAAACGCAGCTAGGCACTTGTAATACTAGAAACTCAGGAGTCTGAGATCTGAAGACCACAGTTCAAAGGCTGGATACAGAAAATCCATAAGAACTTTATTTGCAATTAATCCATTGAAGATCTAGAAGTAGAGCTGTAACTCAAATGATAAGTCACCAGCCTTGAGCAAAAAAAAATTTAAAAAAAGATTAGGGACAGTGTCCAGGCCCTGAGATCAAGCCCCTGGACTAGCACACAAAAAAAATCAATTCAAAGAGGAAGTAGGTACCATTTTAATAGTCAATAAGATAAATGTTGACTGAAAAAAATCAACTCAGCTACATTTTCTTAAGTACTTAGGAAGATTCGTGGACTTTTAACTACTACGAGGACTTGACAGACCATTTAGTTAAGAAAAGCAAATGAGATGTCATCATTTCCTTGTTACCCCTCCTTACATTCTTTTTCTGCATGGTTCTGGGGTTTGATCTCAGGGCCTCACATTTGCACTTGGTTCTTTCTCTCAAGGCTGGGGCTCTACCACCTGAGCCATACCTCTGCTTTCAGCTTTTTGCTGGTTAATTGAGGATGACTCTCACAGGCTTTTCTGCTCAGACTAGCTTCAAACCTCCATCCATTGATGTCAGCCTCCCGAGTAGCTAGGATCACGGGCTCAAATCAGCCCTAAATTCCAAGGTATCCTGTTCTGGCCTCTGGACCCTATAGGCCACTGTGGCCTAACTGGTACAGAGACCACCCTTATGAAGAGATGTCCTGATCTCACATCCTCCACCATGTTCCTGCTCTGGGGCTGGCATCCCCACACTGGTGAGCCCCTGTGCCACTGGTTGCCTCTAGCCCTTGACCTCAGGTGGTGAGTGACTGAAATCAGGATAGGGAGCAGCAGAATGTAGAGCAACACTGTCCAATAGAAACTTCTGTGTGGTGGAAATGTCCAAGACAGATCCCCTGACCAGCTGGGGTTATGGAGCTCTTAGTGTGGCTTGAGCAACTAAAGAACTGAAGTTTTACCTCTAGTCAAATGAATTTGACTTGACTTTACATATCTGCAGGTATCTACTCGTTTATCACTTGTGTCAACACAGCTTTAAAGACAAGGGGAAAAAATGCAGATGGTATGGCACTTGTAAAAGTCACAGCCATGGAAATATGTTCCTATTCCATCATTGTCAAGAGCCCATCCCACCCTGAGTTTCAGCAGAGTTTCAATTGTCTCATCCCAAACCTACCACCCATGTGTATTCTAAGGCATGCACTTCTTCTCTAGGCCTGAGTTTCAGGGTCAAGGCTTAGGGGACAGTATATTGTGTTTCTGGATTTCCCCCCTCTCCTATTTCTCCTTTATTTTCTTCTTCTTTTGTTAAATACACATTTCTCCGGCATGAGTAGGACTTGAGGTGTGGTTTGTATGTTCTCTGGTGCAGAAACTTGGGTTAAGAAAAAGAGGTAATGAACCTGAAAATATGATCTCATGCTTAAGCGGGTGAGTCTCACTTCTCTCTGCTTCAACCCTGGTTTGTTTAGGGAGCCATTGTTCTTAGACCTACTGGATGTATTGGGAAGTATGACTCTGTGGATATGAGTGATTTTTTTATAACGAAATAAACTGATTAAAGGCATGAGGCGCAAGGATGGTAGCATGAAATATATCTCCAGTTTTTGTTTTTTCATCAGTACTTCTCAAAACAAAGAAACTCCAGGATGTTGAGCAATTTACATCCTTGCAGTGACAAGTCATGGGAAGGGAGGGGAGCCCCCAGGGGCTCTTCCCCTAGCTGTGAAAATCAGGAGGTGGGCTGGTGAGCTGAACACTGGAGTCTGCAGTGTGATTACTGTTATTTCTCTTTTGGATACTGGGACTTGAACTCAAGGCCTTGCACTATTGCTTGGCTTTTTCATTCAAGACAGACAGTCTCCCACTTGAGCCACACATCCATTTCTGCATTTTGCTGGTTAATTGGAAATAAGAGTCTCTCCAATTTGTCTGCCCAGGCTGACTTTGACCCTCAGAACTCACACTCCTGTGTATCTAGGATTACAGGCATAAGCCACCAGGATCTGGAAGGTCTGTTCTTGTCAGTTAGTTTGTTTGGTTTTTTTTGTTTGTTTCTTCATTAGAAAAACAAATGAACCCATAGTTTAGAAACCTTCATCATTCCCTGGCCAATTAACTGTGGTCTGTCTTCCTCAAGAAACTGAGGCAAGAGCAAAGAAAACTAATATTAGTCAAATCACGAATACCGTATGAGAACTTCACTTTTATTCTCATTTAAATCTTAAAAACCCCTTGCAGCTAGATATGACTCTACCCATTGACAAAATTTACTAACTAGCTGGGGAGTCACAAAACCACTAAGTGGTAAAGCCAAGCCTTGAACCAAGATCTTTCCAAAGTCTATGTTCTTTCTGCTTCACTCTTCTCTGTTCTGCAATAAGTTCTAGGCACATCACTAACATGTACACCCATGCATTCCTTCACATAAACTTATCTCTTTATTTAGCAAGATAATTGTGTGCTTATTATGTATAGGATACTGTTCCACTTTGGACATGGAAGGAAAAAGGTAACTGAGTGCCAGCATCTTCTATTTGAAGACATATACATGTACAGGAAATAATATAACGAAGCGGAAACATTTTTGTTTTCTGGGGAAAGGGGAGTAGGTTGAGGGGACAGAGGATAGAAGAATGGAGAGCGAAAGAGTGATGGAACATAGTCATGCCATTCCATGTATAATGGGGAAAACAATGAAAGGGGTGACATTGACCCAGATGCATTGAATTCATAAATCGATATGTTGAAGTGATGCTCTCTTATTTAAAGATACTCCCATCCTTAGAGATAATCACTTTAAAATTAGCGCATAAACCCCTTCATAGTTGGCACCAAGATAAAAGAATGAGAATAGGGAACCAAGCAGAATCCTATGTGGGAAAGAAAGCAGCTTTTGAGCCATCACACAAAGGAAAATGTCAGCTTCATCCCAGTAACCTCCGCAGTCCAGAGCCCAGGCCTCAGGGCAGGCCAGAGCGAGCGAGCTGGGCAGGGGCAGGAGGGAACACCGCAGGAATGCTGGTGGAATGCAGAGGACCCGCCCATAGAGACGTGCAACTTGGTACCTGACTCTGGCCACACCCCAGCACAACAGAGAAGCTTTCCCATCTTCCAAGAGTTGTTTTTTTTTTCTTTATTTTTTTTACTCCCTGAAGACAACCATAAAAAATACAGAAAGAATGCAATTGGATGCCTATGGGAGGTGCCCACACCTCTCCAGAAGAACTACTCCAGGAAACAGGGAAAGTGGACAGAAGGCTATTTCCCAACCTAGGAGCCACCCTTAGTTATTAGCTACCAGGCCCCATGGGTCCCTGGTTCACAAATCAAAACCATAGCCCAATACCCTGCCTTCCTGCCTATCCCCTGGTTATTATGAACCATTTCTCAAGTCCTTGAGTAGTACCCGTGTTTGCCAGCAACTTCTCCGTCATTATCTCATGTAGTGAACACACAATCCCAACTAAACACATTGTGTTTCACAAAAGCAGACACCAAGTGGGTCGTTTGCCCAAACTGAATCCTGACAGACAGGGCAAAACCTGAACTTTAAAACTGGCATTCAGATGCCAAGTCTAGCATAGTTATCATTACACCACAGCCAGGAGACCATCCTGTGAGCTCCAGGAAGCTATATTGGGCTTTCTCTTGATATCCATGGCTGTTTGGAAAATCCCAACCTAGTCTTCAATACCTGAGCGAAGTTTCCGAAACTCTGACACTCTCGTTGAATCCATATTGCACTTTGTACTTCCAAGGATTATAGGCCCTGGAGTTGGAAGGGAGGGCTGTAAGTTTGGGATACATGGAAGCAGGTTTCTTGGAACAGTGTGGGTACAGCACCAGACTGCAGGCGCAGTGTTGGAGGGCTGGGGAAACAAGAACTTGGAAAAGTGGGAAAAGAAAGGCCTGGTGTTTCTTGTGTTTGTAAAAGCTGAAAAAATACAAACACAAATACAAATCTGAGCAAATACAGTTGTCTCCTGAGAGCATTAGCAGTATGGCAGGACTTTATAAACCACGGGACTAATAATGATCTGAGGCCAAGCAGGCCTCGGTTTAAATCTCAGCCTCTGTACTCTCTGGCAAGGTGATGAAGGGCAGCCCACCTTTAGATGAAGGGGCAGCCCACCTTTCAGAGCCTCCTTTTCAACATCTTCAAAATGAAAGAAACCAAATTCTCACCCACTTAGATCCTTTCAAGACACTCAGCCTTGCCAACAGCTGTGATCCTAGCCCAGCAATCTTCATTTCACACTTATATAAAAGGTACATTTGTAGGGTTTTAAGCCACTACATTTATGGCAACTTGTTTAAAAATCAATAGGAAACAAATGAAGATTTGGGAGGAAAAATGCCCATCTCACAAGCCTGTTAAATATGAACACAAAGCACTAACAGCCCTGCAAGCTCACAAGATGGAAACTCTCCATTGCTATTTTGCTATCTGGGAGACAAAAGTAGCTTTCTAAACTACCATGTGCCAGAGAGAAAAGAAAAGAGCATAGAGTGACAAGAAACAGAAATCCAATGACCAGAGATTTCAGAATATCTCCCCCATCAATCTTGCCTTCCCCAGCTAGGCTGCCAGTTCCTACTATGTTCTCTTCTAGTTCTCTTCATGCTTTTTATTGCTCAAACCAAACTCTTGTCTGCCTCTGTCCTTCTTTTCTCCCTCTCTGACCTTGATTTTTTCACCCTCATTCTCCCTCCTGTGAAATATTCATTTGTTCGCTCCTTCCCTTACTCTTCTGAAACACTGTGAGACACACTCATCTTTGGAAACCAAGACATTACTGAGTCACTAGTATATGAATTTTGCTAGGGATTCTACCTGACTCCTTTTATTTCTCCATACCCTTTCTATATTCCCTTTTATCCAATTGTGCATAGTTGCTTTAACTCCTTGTTTCCATAATCACACTTACAACTCCTTAGAAGAAGAAATTGTATTCTTTGTTTTCAGAGTCCCACTAATGATCATGAATAGGCTATTACCTGATACAGGGGTGCCCAGCCATGCAATGCAGGTCCATAATGGTGCTGAACTCGGCCTCTCCCCATATTTGTCCTTTGTTCTCTATACTTTTGTTATCTGAATTATCCATCTATTTATTTGTGCATCTAGTTTAGAAAGTCACCCAACTGGTCAGGGTACACACTAGTAATGAACTTCACAATTTGACTGGTCCATCCAGCTTCATGAGTTAGCTTCTCCCAGGGAGGAGGGAGACAAAAAAAAAAAAAACAATTTAAGCTTGTTAAGGTAGAAGGCTCATTTTGTCTAACATGTAACAATCACTGGAAAGAAAATGAGTGGCATTTCTAAGCAGAAAGTCCAGAGAGGGATCATATAACAAGGGCCCAGATTCTTTACTTCCTTCAGCAAACATTGATGGAGAGCCCCATGCAGTGCCAGATTCAGAGCCAACAGTGCATTCATTTCAACTCCTTAAATTCCCACAGCTTCCCAGGCAAATAGAGGGAAAATATTTAGACATATTTAAACTACTTGGAAGGTTATTCATACATCTATACAGCACAACAATGAAGTTTAAAAAGATGAGCAAGCCTTGAGTCAAATAAAATGTTTGCCTCCTCCTACCCCTGAACTCTTCCACAAACCAGAAGTTCAAAGCCAACCGTGAACCTGCAGTCTTGTGGGCACCTTCTTCTTTGGTCTCTCCTCCCTAACTCTCCTCTTCTCTGGGATGCTACCTTGTACAGGGCCACCATAAACAACCTGCAAGGTTTACATTTTCCCACTTCAGAGAACCCACGGTGTTGTCTCTCTTATGTAATTCAATTATTTCCCTCCTCTAAAGCACAAAACCCTAGCATGCAATAATCTCCCTGACATGACTTTGCATACCTCAAAATGCAATCGCTTTTGGTTGAGAGCATGAATGCACCAATGGATTAATTACTTTATTTAAATGCTGAGAGATGTCAGTGACTTTTCTCAATGTGTTTCAAGTGCAGAAGCTAAATCCATTGGCCCCAACACTTAAATTGTTGTTTCTTCTAGAGAAGCCCCAGGAAACTTCCCACATTCTACTGCATCTGGCCTTAAACTTTGTAAATGTTTTCTAAGAGCCAGTGGGGGGGTCGTAGGGAAGTTCCTGGGCCAGGAGTCACTCAGACCAAGGACGCTACCCAGCTCTGTCATGGCCACTTGTAGGACACCAGAGAACTTCATTCAAGACTTTCAGCTCTAGTTTTCTGATCTGAGAAATGCTCACCCCGCCTTGTTCTTTTCCTTTTTCTACTTTTCTGGGCTATGTATGTGAAGTCCCTGGTAGAATGACACCATAAATAGAATGAAATGCCTGTTCCTCTTTTCTCTCCTCTTCCCCTCTTCTGTGACAGAGAACTTTGCTGCTTGCCAACTCTTCTGTCCTGTTTAGATTACAAACTATTCAGAAAATCATGGATTTTAACAGCAGCCCATAGTCCACAGGGGGCCCAACTGCCACCTCCCTGTGTTACTCTGGGTTTCAGTTTGCCCTGACAAAGCCCTCTGTCAGGGCCTTGGTGTGACTCAGCCCTGTCTAGCCATCACCACCTCATGTCTGTTCTTGATGCCTTCATGATTGTTGGCCTTGAAGGGTCTCTGTTCATTTCTTAGAACTAGGCTCCTGGTAGACTCCAGACAATACAGAACTCCTGAAGGCACTGATCAGACTCTGGACTACTTTACCATCTCCTCCTCCTTCTTCCTTGTCTTCTCAGTCTCTTCTCCTCTTGCTCCTTCATAAAATTACTGAGTTTGCTAAGCTTAGTAAACAACTTTACTCCATTACTAGAATGTCAGATGACCTTGGTTTGGATGCTTTAAAACAAATAAAGCCAACAATATCATAATTTAATCAAGTGATAGAAATAGTATTGTCGATCACCTGTTCTTATTGACATACAATGTTCTCAACTGTGCTTTCAGTCTGTGGGAAGCTCTAAAGATGGCCAAAGATGATTCTACCGTCCGCTGCTTCCAGGGCCTACTGATTTTTGGAAATGTGATTGTTGGCGTAAGTAATGAGTATTTTTCAGAAAATTATACTCTTCCTGTGCACATGATTTAAGATTAGTCAAAGGCACTAGTAGATACTGCCTTTGTAATCCTAGCTATACTCAGGAGGCTGAGATCTGAGGATAGTGGTTCACAGACAGTTCAGAAAAGAAAGTCTATGAGATTCTTATTTCCAATTAATCAGCAAAAAGCCAAAAGTGGAGCTATGGATCAAGAGGTAGAGTGCTAGCCTGGAGTAAAAAAAAACTAAAGGAGAGCATCCAGGTCCCGAGTTCAAGTCCCAGTACTGGCACCAAAAAAAAGTGACAGCTTAAAGAAAAACACTTATTGGTTCCCTATGTATTTTCCTCAATTTTAGAAATGTGATAGTAAAATGCTAGGTAGTATTTAACTGTACAGTCACATGACAATGTGACGTGTCAGAGAAACAAGATTGAAAAAAATAGGTATTCTCCTTCCAACTTTAAAATGTAAGAATCTTAGGAGTCATGTCCACCATGGTTGGTATCCAAACACACCTATCACACATGCACATCTTCTTGCTTCTTTTCTGATTTTGCCTTGATTTGATATGAGAATTCTGTTGTTAAGGGGAGGGGCAGATATTAGCATCCTCTTGTTCTCCTATGTAGATAGGAGAGTGGTTCAGAAGTCAAGCTGTATAGTTATGGAAATGGGAGACAGTGTACTTGTTTGGGAATCAAACAAGTACTTGCCTCAGCTCTGCCTCTGACTCCCTGTGTGGTTCTGAACAAATTGTCATCTTTTAGAGGCAATATTCCTTATCTATAAAATATGAGCCCTGAGATGATCATCACCAAGGTTTCAGCTCCCACTGTAACTATAACCAGGATCATGTCAAATATAGTAACAGAAACATGGCCAATGAGGCAGTGGGGTAGAGTTGAGGGCATAACCTACATATGGGAAGGCACCATCTGAGTGGTTCATGACCAAGGACTTTATAGATGGTATGAAATTGTCCTAAACCTTTTCCCAAATAGCACTAAGACAGAGTGGCCTGTGGAAAGAGGTATAGAGGAAAAAAGGCATATGGAAGAGGGTAACAGGGTGAAAATATTTGTTTGACTATGTGGCAGTGGTGATTATAAATTGGTTGCATGACGCCCATGCAGGCAAGAAAGTCAGTCTCAAGAACCCACTCCATGCTTCTCACTATGCTGTGCCATCTGCCTGACACCACCCACTCTTACCTTGCTCCCAGATGTGTGGCATCGCCCTGACCGCAGAGTGTATCTTCTTTGTATCCGACCAACACAGCCTGTACCCCTTGCTTGAGGCCACCAACAATGATGACATCTATGGGGCTGCATGGATTGGCATGTTTGTGGGCATCTGCCTCTTCTGCCTGTCGGTCCTAGCCATTGTGGGCATCATGAAGTCCAACAGGAAAATTCTTCTGGCGGTAAGACCTAAAAACTCTCTATTGTGATTTCCCTAGATAGATTTGGTGGACCGGCTCATCTCTGTTGAGCACAATGCTTGGTTTGCGATGGGGTAGGTGGGAGCAGAGGGAGAGAGAGGGAAGACTCACTGTGGTGAGACCACAAGGACAAGGCTGGCTTCTGTCATTTCCAACCCAAAAGGTCATGGTTCAGAGAATCTAACAGAAGATGCTTGGAGGTGACCCAGCTGAGTACCGTCCAGATCTGTGCTTCTCCATGTTATCTGCTTGGGCCCAACTAGAACAACCAGGAATTCCATGGGCCAAAGGAAAAGATATAGTAGAAAGTTACTAGACTTTACCCTTGGCATGCAATAGTTTTTAAGTAATGTTTTAATATTTAGCGGGCATTGATACTTTGGGATATATGTGAATTTTTTCAGAGAAAGCATGAGCCTTTCTGAGGACTTCTGAGTTCAGAGTTGATGGCTTTTGTACAATGGCCTACACGTTGTACATTGTCATTCACAGTGCTGCATAGAACCCCCAGAAACCCTTGAGGTACACTCTAGTCCCAACCCACAGACAGCAAGATCATATCCTGCCTTGGTAGATGGAACCTAATTTCCTGTGGGCAAGGGTTGATAAAGCTCTCAGTTTAGCCTGAACCTCTCTTTTCTGTGTCCCAGGGCAGTAGTTTCTTGATTGTGATGAAACTACACATACACACACCTACACCCTGCCTACCCTTGAAATAACTCTCCTATGCCCCATGCTGCAGGACTTGAATTTCACTTTTATAGAACAAGCCTAGCAAGTTAAGGGGCTTGTTAGTTTACTTTTCCTCTGAGCTAGCCATTGTCCTAGTAGCCAGGGAATGCAGAACATTGACCTGCTGTTTCCTTAGTGTGAGTTAGTTTCAGGGCAAATGCACCGACTTTGGGAGAGTAGGGGAAAGGGGGAGAGAAGAGGCTGGTGGCCCCAAAAGATCACCTTCACCTGAATCCCAGGCTCACTTTGAGCCAGACCTCTGTGTGTGTGTGTGTGTGTGTGTGTGTGTGTGTGTGTGTGTGTGTTTGACATAGCCCTAAAAACTGATCTGGGAAAGGAATACTGGAACCTTCTTTCTAGAGCACCACTGAAGTATTCTGAGGCTCTGTAAGAGGAGCCAGCAACACTCGTGAGAAGAAGCGAGACAGCAGCCATTACAAGAGAACATTCTGGGTTCTCTGACGGTCTCCTGACTGCAGCCAGAATGTTGTCCTGGGCTGGACAGTGAAGGCAGCAAAAGGTCTTGCTCAGAGAGCCTCCCATCCTCAAGAGGGACAACGGTTCTCCCTGTCCAACCCCACCGACTCTGACCTTGTGTCCCAAGAGGATACAAGGACCAAACCAATGAGGGACAGTCTCATGTAGAGTCATCCTGAGCACCCATGGGCTACCCATGTGCCCACATCCACGAGGACATCAACACCACAGAGAAAGCCCTGTGGAGCTCCCGTGTGCTGCTGTGGCTGGAGTGAGAGGGTGTGTGCGGAGAATGCCAGCGGGTCACTGCATTCCTGCTTCCATCTGGGTATTGGTTAGGAAGGACATGAGGTCTTAAATACATTCTGGTTTATCTTTTCCTAATCTCTGCAATTAGACATTTTCAGCAAACAATAAAGAAAAAAATCACTATCAAAGATTTATAAGGCTTACATCATGTGTGATACACTAAGGTTCTCTTGCATGCGACTGAGCATGCACAAACATGTGCATAACCACACACACACACACACACACACACACTCATCAGTTCATTCTCTTATATCAGCTTTTTCTAATTAAAAGAGACATGCAGGATCCTGGATGCAAAAGTTCAGTATACAATGGCCATTTGTTCTCTGGACAAAATAAGACAGATGGATTACCTAGCACCAAATCTTATTCCCAGCCACGCAGCTGATCAAAGAGGGTTTGTGGAATAACTACATGAATGGATGGATGATTCTATTTAGATGAACGTGCAGAAAAATCACAGCTATCATTTGGGGGATAAATCTTAAGGGATAAGAGTAATTCTTCTCATTTCTTTCCTTTCCAGTACTTCATTTTGATGTTTATAGTATATGGGTTTGAAGTGGCATCTTGTATCACAGCAGCAACACAGCGTGACTTTGTGAGTACACCCCCCTAAGAAAGCACAGAGCAAAATGATATAACATAATAACATAGTTGATAAGTTGGCAGCTCTTTCTATGTGCCAAGCATGCTCATCTACATACAAATAACACATATATAACCTTACTACTTATAAACCTAAGAAACAGCTAACATCAATAATCAATTTCTTAGTGAACAAATGAGGCACAAAAAATATAAAGTCTTTCTTTATATCTGAAAATACACAGTAATCAAGAAAAAGGCACAAATTTTGAACCCAGGTAGCCTGAGTCCCAGGTTTCAAGCTGGTAACCCTTAGACTTGTCCTGACTCTACCATGGCCTTAGCATTGGCCTTGCAGTGACACGATCCATATTTTACTTCATCTAAGATTTAACTCACCATCCAGTATCTTTCTCTTCCTTTTGCTCTTTCCCCAGGCCTCTACTACCTATCCAACCTGGTCAGACAGTGACTTTTTTGTTGTTAACATGAAGGACTGTTACCTATATAGGAATTTCAACCAGGCTGAAGCAGCCTTGGCCAATGGGATTTAGTGCCTCTGGGTATAGCTTCACTCCAAGAGAATTGTTCAACATCCTCAGCCACTGGCCAAGAAAAATAGTTCCCTTTCCTTGGGAAGCAGTCTGCTAACTTTACCTCCTATGTTGCTTCTGCCCCTTGTAGTTCACACCCAACCTCTTCCTGAAGCAGATGCTGATCAGGTACCAAAACAACAGCCCTCCAACCAACGATGACCAGTGGAAGAACAATGGAGTCACCAAAACCTGGGATAGGCTCATGGTTCAGGTAAGACATGGGGTCCTTCCTGGGTGATGCCAATAACCTGGAAGATGTGAGAGGGATTAAAGCCAAGGTCTCAAAGAGAAATCCTTCATAAAGAGACTTGTTACAGTTACCTCTCAGCTATTGATAGGGATGAAGTAGGTGAGGGACATGTTACACATATGACACGGTGAAATCCTCAAGATTACATATTTTATTTCAAGTCATGATATTGATTAACATTCTTTTGTAGGGCGTAGATTAAAGAAATTTAGATCAATCATACATTAGAACTCAGGTCTCTTTATATTATTATCATTAATAATAATATTAAACGTTGACTTCTGTATAGTGAACGTAAATGGCAACCACTGCCTACCTTGTCTTTTGGACATGTTTGTCATCTCCTAAGAGCTAGTTCTGTGAAGAGCAAGGAGAGATGACCTGATTTAATCACTCAGTTTTCAGCTTTTCCTCAACTCAGTGTTAGAGTGCGACCAAGTTTAACACTGAACCCTTGTCTGTCCCTACTGAAATCCTAGTCTTAAATAAGCCTGGCTCAACTAAATAATTTTTCTCAACCATGCTCAAGTTAAACACACATGCAGAATGATTACTTCTCCTGCCAAGATATTTCTGACAATACAATGGCCAAAAGACAGTTTTTGTCATTGTTTCCTTGGATACATTTTTTCCCCTGAAAGTTGAGAGATAACTGACAATTTTGATTGATAAGGAAGGAAAGTGATAGGCATGGTTTTTATTCTGTCTCCAGTCTTGTCTGAAGTTTAGGAATATCTTCCTTTCCTAGGTAAAAGCTGTATGACACTAGGTTTTTCTATTTTTTTTTGTTTATTCTCTCCCTTCACAAATGTAACATGATATTACTCTAGAAAAATATAAAAATAACTTCATAATTTCCTCACTACTAAAAATTTTATTTTTCTGCTTTTAATCTTGCTTATATGTAATACTAGAATAATTATACTACTTTGGCATTATTGTATCATAATGTCAGTATTCATAATATATAGTTAATAAGGGACTAATATGAATATTCATAAATAATAAGGGTTTACTCTAAGCCAGTAACGTTCACTCATTTGATCTTCCCAAAAATCTATGAGTTCTGTATTTATCCTAACTTCATAGTTAAAGACAATGAAGTTTACAGAGTTTAAATCATATACTTATTAATGAGTGACAAGACTAAAATGTAAGTTGTCCAAAACCTTCAGCTCTACTTGAGAGAGGGATTTTTTGTAGTATATATAAGATCTAATATATAATGTATCATGTCCCAGTGTTATTTATTGATTGATTTTAGGCATTCAGTGTGTTTACGTGTACATTTGTAGGCACATTCTAGTTACCACAAATGAGGGAAACCATGCAGCCTATGTTTCTTTGGCTCTGGTTTACTTCACTTAATATAATTTTTTCCAAGTCTTTCCATCTCCTTACAAATGGTACAATATCATTCTTTCTGATGGATGAGTCGAATTCCACATATACATATATATGTATATATAATATCACATATTCTTGGTTCATTCATCCACTGAGGGACATCTAGGTTTTATTTGGGAGGGTATAAGAGGGCACAGAAAAGTAGAAGTTATTTCTTTGTTGTTTTGTATGTCCTTCCCCAAGGTATAACCCCTGTTTTCATTGTATTTGATGTTGGTATAATTTGGGAAGGGGAAGGGAAAAAACAAATTGTTTAAATAGGGATACAGGTAGACCCATTGCAACAATGAGACGTACAAGTCGTTATGTCGAAAAACAAACTTTACAACTTTGGCACAGGGGGTGGGGAAGTCCGGGGAGATGGGAAGGGATGGGAAGGGGAAACAAAGGAGAAAGCAACAATGCTTGGTAAGAAATGCACTCATTACCTTGCCCATGTAATTGTAACTCCTCTGTATGGTATTTTCACAATAAAAAGAAAAAGAAAGAAAGAAAAAGACAGAAAGAACAGAATGAACAAATACAATTGTGATACTCATTAGACACTATGTGGAAAATGAACTGGATATTGGTGTGCATGGGAGGGAAAGACTGGGAGAAAGCGAAGGAAGGGGAGACATGGTTCATTACTCATTACCTGATTCATGTAACTGTAATCCCTCTGAATATCAACTGTGCAATAAGGAAGGAAGGAAGGAAGCAGGGAAGCATGGAAGCAAGGAAGGGAAAGAGGAAGGAAGAGATAGATATGTTATATTTCCACATCTTAGTTGCTACATTGATGGCTCTAGGAAAGAGAAATTCATCTCTTTTTTTCTTGTCTTCTGACAGGACCATTGCTGTGGTGTGAATGGCCCATCAGACTGGCAGAAGTACACATCTGCCTTCCGGACTGAGAATAACGATGCTGACTACCCCTGGCCCCGCCAGTGCTGTGTTATGAACAATCTCAAGGAACCTCTGAACCTGGAGGCCTGCAAACTGGGTGTACCTGGTTACTACCACAATCAGGTAAGTCCCTTCCTCTGCCAAAACCCGCCAGAAATTCCTGCTCTGTGAAGAGAGGAGCCTGAGACTTTAAATAACCATCTCTCACTAACAAATCCTGCCTTTTCTCCTACACCTTCCTTCTCTGCTAGGACACTGAATGCTAACCTAGATCTGATCTGGGCAAATTTACATGTGAGTGAAATGAACAGAGCACGAGGATAGCAACAGCAAAATCCAACTTTGTCTAAGTGGAGACAATGTCTAGAATCGGTTTTCAAGAAATACATTAAGCAAAGATCTGCAAAACAGTTTCAAACTGTAAACTGGATGATGTACAAAGAAGAATGTTTTGTCAGTTCCAAATCAACACAGGACTAAATGCAGCAATTACAGATCCCCATTCATAGTCTGTGGCAATGGAGGACAAGTGTTAATAAAATGTTAGGTTGCTGATTGTGGCTGGAAATGGCTTACATACAGATGAAAAACTGCTTCCGGGCTGATGATGATCTGATGATAATTATGAAATATTTACTAAGCTCTTAACCAAATGCCAGACTCTGTTCTAAGTGTCATAAAGATAGATAGATAGATAGATAGATACAGATATAGATACAGATATAGATACAGATATAGATAAACACCTTTGATGCTCAGGTATCACCTTTGATACTTACTTCACAGATGAAAAGTTGAGATACAGAGATGCTAATCCAAACCTTGTATACAGTCATCCAATTAGGGTCAGCCTTCAAAGCCAAGCATTCTGGCTCCAAAGTTCCCAATGTAAGCTGATAAATACTTGTTAGTAGTAAAAGGCCAGGTGAGCTCTCCTGTTTATTTCCCCCAACCCTGCACACTGAAATGCTGGGCTCTGCTTTGGGAGATACCTCTTTGAGGAAACCTGGTTATACATAGTTTATGAGATAATTTAGAAGCATCAGACTCATTAATATGGAAATAAATACTATATGCTGTATGTCAGGCCCTACTGACCATTGTATCACACCTGGCAGGCCACCTGCCCTAAGACCGTAGCCCCTCATCTGGGAAGGACATGGGAGTGACAGAGATGACTTTGCAGCAGTGCCCAGAGTAAACCTTCATTCCCTTGTTTTGTTTTGTTTTGTTTGTTGGTCATGGAGCCTGAACTCTGGGCCTGGGCGCTGTCCCTCAGCTCTTCAGTTCAAGGCTAGCACTCTTCCACTTGAGCCACAGCGCCACTTCCAGCTTTTTTTTTTTTTTTTGCTTATGTGGTATTGAGGAATCGAACCCAGGGCCTCATGCATGCAAAGCAAGCGCTCTACCACTGAGCCACCTTCCCAGCCCCCTTCATTCAGTTTTATAGCAACGTTATTCTGGCATTGTCTTAATCGTAAGCTCTATTCAGGCTGCAATAAAAGCTAAATTTGTCGCATATAATCACAGTACAAAATATTCCCATCACTCTCACAACTCAAAATGCTTTCAATATCTCGGGCCAGTGGCTCCTGCCTGTAATCCTAGCTACTCAGAAAGCTGAGATCTGGGCATTGCAATTCCAACCCAGTCTTGGTAGGAAAGCCTCTTATCTCTAATTAGACACCAAAAAGCCAGAAGTGGAGTTGTGACTGGCCTTGAGCAAAAGAAGCACAAGTATTGCAAGCTCCCCACCCACCCCATCACGTGCCCCTGAACCTGCAGGGACTGGGAGCAAGGCAATCATGGAGACCAGACCCTGGAACTGAGGTTAGGAGAATCTTCCTCCAGCTTCAGAGCCCAAGGTTCCAGTCACCAAGGTTTTTATTGGTCTCGTGCAGGAAGTAAGATACAAACGTCAACATGTGATAATATTTTGTCTACAAGTGGCAGATGACCTGCTTATTCTGGGAAGGAGAGCTAAAGAGTAAACAGCTTACAATTTGCATAAACCTAAGTCTACCCACTGGGCTCCCCCACAGTTTACAGTGGAGTTAGCCTACACCCAGGATAGAAATCTGAATCCCATTAAGCCAGGACTGATTGACTTTTCCAGGAAACTCTTGTGTCCTGAGAGTATGTTGGAAGAAGAAATTTCAAATTCCCAATCTTTTCGGGGTCTCACAGCTTGGAATTTGGGGCTCTCGCACTCAGGCACAGTGCCTGGACCCTGAGTTCATGATATAGGAATGTCACAGAAAAAATATACTTTCAATATTTCAACACCAGAATCAGAATTGGCACGTGCAAACCAGCCTTGACTGGATTGTCCTGGATTTTTCTTGGGGGAAAAAAAAAAGACTTACCTTCAAGATAATCTGTTTATTTCGTAGCAACTCTTTTCTCCCTATGCAGTTAACAGTCTAGTCATGAGAACAAATCTAAAACCCTTACTTTCTCAAGTTCAGATAGAAGAGCTCTGAGGAAAAGATCCAAACTAGTGTTCCCCTAGCACTCTGTTGGGATCTCTACACCTACTTTGACAATCTAACACTTTCCTTTCCAGTACCGTGGCCTCATCTGACTTCAGTCTCCATAGCAGTTCCCTACCAGCTGTTCCACAACCACCAATTGTCACCACTCAGCCTCACTCTTCCAAGTTTCCTGCCTCTGATTCCCTCTGCTCCTAGGCTCTCAGTTTCCCTAATTCTTCATCTTCAACACAGTATCTTATCTGTTAAATATTTCTTATTTTCTCTACCCTGGTTCTTCAGATTCTCTACCCCATTCTGACTTACAGGAAATATCTATTCCAAAGCAAGATGGGCAACCCCCATATTTATTATACTTCACATTTTTTTAAGTTCATCACTCAGAACTATGTTACATCCTTTTAAGGGCTATGTATTATTCAATCTATATCCTCAGTCCTTAGTGTAAGGTTCGCTGGAAAAGAAACCACCACATGGTTCAGGCAGAAAAAGAGTTTATTGAGGAGAGAGCAAACTGCAGGTCCACAAGAGATGGCGGCATGTGGAGACAGAGGGGAAGGAAGAAGAGAAAAAGAGAGAAAGAGAGGGGGACTCATGTTGAGTGGGATTATATAGGGAAAGGCAGGAGACAGGACCAGAGCAGATTCGGAAGTGATGCCTGGGGGGCCTCTCACTGTCTGAAGGAGGCGTGACCGAGGAGGTTCAGGAAATGACCTCGGCTGATGAGGAAGTGACTTCAGGGCCTGGGATCCTTTGCTGACTCTGAATCAGGTGATTGACAGTCAGGTGATTCCTGATCTCAGGACAGAGAAGAGGAAGGGGAGAGTGGCTGTTCTCCCAGGCAGACACTTCACATGATGCCTGGTACAAAGAAGACACTCAATAAATGCTTGGTGGATGGTTAGGTGGGTGGGTGAATAAAGAAGGGAGTGGCTCTGATTTTCACCTCTACATTTTACCTTTCCAAGAGCTAAAATATGCAAGTACGTTGCTACAGCTATAAAACATGACACAATAGGAAGTTCATCATAAGTATGATAAGTATGATAGATTTTCACATAGCAGAATGGGTACAACTATGTGTTCTCTATCTTGCTGCCTCAGCTCCATAAATGCATTGTGCAAATCCTGATAATGACATCTCAAGAATATCATGATGGCCCCAATGCAGTAAAGCACTAACATGATTAGCATCACCAAAACTCACTGAGGAGATTTTCTTCTTAAATCCAGGTGGGGTTTTTTGGTTTGTTTTTTGTTTGGTTGGATTTATTTTTTTTTTCATGGGAGCAAAACCCATTTTGTCATGCCACAGTTCCTGGCACATAGTATAGGCAAGTTCCTTGATATACTGTTAGATAAATGATCATCTCCTGAGATTTTCAGGATGTTGAGAGTATTTTGTGAGGCATCAAGTATGTAACAAATTATGCTGCCTTAATTATGACTCAATATCATGTTCCACAGAAAATAGGAGGATTTTGCCAAGAGTGAAGCCAAGGGTGGATCAAAATATTGTGCTGCTTTCATTCTGTAAATACAGGTGTATACTATGAGCCAAGCACTTAATCTGGGGTCTGGGATTCAACAACGAACAACATAAAAATCCCTGCCCTTGAAGAGCTTCCATTCTGTTATAGGAGACCATAATAGAATGCCAAAACAAAGGTATGGCGAAATTCCAGGTTATGACAAATGTCACAAGCAGAAATAAAGCAGTGTAAGTAGCTGCAGTAGCATGGGGTAAGGAGATACTCCAGAAAGGTCATGTCATCTTGACATTTCAGAGTTCTGAATAAGTGAGGAACTTCGAAGCTGGAAGACTGGGGAAGGAAGCAGCAAGTGCAAAGGCCCTGAAGTGGAAGGATCTTAGATTTTTGGAGAAACACCAAGAGTATCAAACAGACAGAGTCAGAATGCAGGATGGCTAGTAGGCAAAGATAGGTTCAAATTCTATGTGTGAACACAGATCTCAGAGTGGCAAAGTAGGAGGTTATTGTAATCCTCAAGTGAGGCTCTGGTGGACTGAGGTGATAAAAGGCAAGATTCAGGCATTGCTTAAAAGTTGGATATTGTTAACTAAAGAAACACAGATTAAAGATAATGCCAGGGTGATACCTAAGATTTATAAAAAAAAGGCGGGGGGGGGGGCCGGGAGAGAAGAGTAAATGGAGGAACAATCTAAGTAAGGACTGTGTGTGTGTGTGTGTGTGTGTGTGTGTGTGTGTGTGTGTGTGTGTTCACAGGAGAAGAGGGCAGAGTCTCACAGGGCAGAACATCAAGTAGGCTCTGGTAATCACTCTGGAGGCCTAATGTTCAAGGTCAGCCTAGGACATTTGGTGACAGTGGTCAAAAAACCTAGGACATTCACCTCTGGATATCAGTCCATGGAATCAGTGCTGATCATTGCTTCTCCTAGCTTTAGGGGGATTCCCAAGTTGTTCTATTACCACTGTGGGACTTTGCATAGTGACTAGGACAGATATGATGCACACACTTAGATGATTATGACATATATCAATGAATGAATGGATTAATACAAAAATTAATCACTCTTGCATGCACACTTGCACACACACATATCATGGCTCTTCAAGATCTGAAGAACAGAATCCAACATGAGTATGTTCAAATATAATATCAAAAGAGAATTTACAGAGTGTCATATTAGGATTCCTTTAATAATTATTTTCAAATGATAAGAGAAGACCTCAAATTTTACTTTTTAAAAAATCAAACACATTTAAAAAGTACCTGTGGGCTGGACCCATGGCTCAAATGGTAAAATGCTTGCCTACTAAATAGGCCTTGAGTTCAAACTCCAGTATCTCAAGAAAAATAAAAATCCACCGGGAGCAGGTGGCTTACGCCTGTAATCCTAGCTACTCAGGAAGCTGAGTTCTGAGGATCATGGTTCAAAGCCAGCCCAGGCAGACTCTTACCTCCAATTAACCATCAGAAAACCAGAAGTGGCGTTGTGGCTAAAGTGATGGAGTGCTAGCCTTGAGCTGAAGAGCTGAGGGACAGCGCCCAGGACCAGAGTTCAAGCCCCACAACCAAAAAAAAAGAAAAAAGAAAAACAAATATCCACTGGACAGGTGGCTCATGCTTGTTGACTTAGCTACTAAGGAGGTGAAGATCAGAAGGATTAAAGTTCTAAGTGAACCTAAGCAAAAAAAAATAAAATAAAATAAAAATGATGAGATTCTCATCTCAACCAATAAAATCTAGGCACAGAAGAGAGCACCTGTCATACCAGCTATGTGGAAAGCATCAATAGGAAGCTCATAATCCAGGCAGCCTCGGCAAAAAGTGAGACCCTATTTGAAAAATAGTAAAAGCACAAAAAGGGCTGTGGGTGTGGCTTAAGTAGCAGAGTGCCTGCCTAGCAAGCACATGATTTGAGTTCAAACACTAGCAACTGCAGAAAGAAAGCAAAACCAAACCCGTCCTCAAATCAACAAGAAAATGTTTCTCTTCCTTCCTTCCTTCCTTTTTCCTTCCTTCCTTCCTTCCTTCCTCCTTCCTTCCTTCCTCCTTCCTTCCTCTTGCTTTCTTTCTTTCCTTCTTCCTTTCTTTCTTTCTCTTTCTTTCTTTCTTCCTGGTCAGTTGTGGGGCTTGAACCCAGAGCCTAGGCAATTCCCCTGCGCTTTTTTGCTCAAGTCTAGTGCCCTACCATTTTGAGCCACAGCTCTACTTCAGTTTTCAGGTGGATAATGGAAGATAATAGTCTCAGAGAGTATCCTACCTGGGCAGATTTTGAACCATAATCCTCCAATCTCAGCCTCTTGAGTAACTAAGATTATAGTCATGAGCCACCAGCACCCAGATAAGAAAATCTTTTGAGAAGAAAAAAGTTTCAGGTTTTGTTAAGAATATGTTATCAATTCATTCAATATGGAAATATATTGTCATGCTACAATAGCAATTGTGCTAGTGAGACTGTCATTGACACAAATAACTGTATTATAGAATAATTATTCAACCATATTACCTATGTTCTCCCAGCAAAATTTTTAGTGGCTTCTGTGTACAGAGATGCGGAAATAGCACAGTTGTGTAACTGAACTCTGGGGAGCACTGATCCAAAGAGGACTCAGCCTCCCACTGGCTTGTGCTGGTCCTGGGGATTGAACTCAGGGCCTGGGTACTGACCCCAAACATTTTTTCTCAAGGCTAGTGCTCTACCAGTTGAGCCATAGCTCCATTTTTTAGCTTTTTTTTTTTTATCAGTCATGGCGCCTGAACTCTGGGCCTGGATGCTGTCCCTCAGCTCTTCAGCTCAAGGCTAGCACTCTACCTACTTGAGTTACAGCACCACTGTGGCTCTTCCTGTTTATGTAGTGCTAAGGAATCAAACCTAGGACCTCAGGCATGCAAGGCAAGAACTCTACCACTGAGCCACCTTTCCAGCACTTTTTTTTTGGCTTTTTAATGGTTAGAGATAAGATTCTCACAGACTCCCCTGTCCTGGATAGCTTTGAACTGCAATCCTCAGATCTCACCCTCCTGAGTAGCTAGGATTATAGGCATGAGCCATTGGTGCCCAGTCTCATATCTCACATCTTTCTTCCTGGTTCTTCTCACACCAGTGTGGTCCATCTCCTCTTCTAGGGCTGCTATGAACTGATCTCTGGACCAATGAATCGGCACGCCTGGGGAGTCGCCTGGTTTGGATTTGCCATTCTCTGCTGGACTGTGAGTACCACCCAGTGTGTATTTCTGAAAGAGGGCAGGGTGGGGGAGAAGGGGGGAGTAACAATGAGAGACCTTGATGTGGGCATTAGTTCCATCAAACCTGTACAGACACCAAACCTTGTGGTTGAAAGTCAGTGAGGAAACGTCTGACACCAGAACAAGAACAGTGGGATCTCTTGAGGTGTGTGGAAAGGAGGTGTGTTGTGTGTTATTGGCCGGGCCCTTCAGCTACTGCCTGGGATGCACTTGCCATCTGAGGGATGGAGGGCCACTTTCCCTGGTCTGGACTTTCTACTAAACCCTAACCTGCAGCTTCTAGTCTCCAGGTCTTTGTAAGTCATTGCAATAACATCTCAGGGACTGTCCTGTTGCTATTTAGATGTCTCCTGTACATACTAACCCATTTTGCTCCCGGCCAACCTCATCATTTTCTACTGCCCTCTTTATCCAGTTCTCAATCTTGGCTGAACATTAAGCTCTCCTGAGGGAGTTTAAAAACAGAACATGCTAGCTAGGCACCAGTGGCTCCCACCTATAATTCTAGCTATACAGGAGGCTGAGGTCTGAGTCAGCCCAGGCAGGAAAGTCTATGCAACTCTTATCTCCAATTAACGACCAAAATAAGCCAGAAGTAGAGTTGTGGCTCAAGTGGTAGAGTATTAGCTTTGAGCAAGAAAGCTCAGGGACAGTGCCCTGATTTCAAGCCTGGGCCTGTGATTCTGTTGATCTGGGGTAGAATCTGTATTTCCCAACCTATCATATCATTATTCTAATTGCTGTCATGATTTAAAATCATTGCATTGGAGAAGCAATCTCAAAGTTGTGGTCTCAGAACCTTTGACCATCTCAACATATATTAAGGATTTCAAAAAGCTCTTGTCTATGAAGTCTATAGGAGTTGATGTTTGCTTCACTAGATGTTAACAACAATCTGTTAACTCATTTAAAATATAATAATTTAAAATAAAACAATAAATCTTAAATTTTAAAATAAAATAGCAAGCCAGTTACAATTTAATATTCATAATGTACTTCTGGGGTGATAAATACCTATTTTACAAAACAAAAAAAGGTAAAATGGTACTTTACATATCTCAAATTTCTTCAATATCTGGCTTAGTAAAAGGCAGATATTTGCAGATATTTGCTCCTCCATTCAATGTGTTGTAATATACTGTCACAACTGAGATACTGGAACAAAAGACATCCTTTATACAGATGTGTAGTTGAAAAATACATGAGGGTTTTAATAAACTCATCTTCACATAATCATGAAAATTCTTTCTGAGAGAAACTGGGTTTTTTGAACTCAGCATCAAATGCTTACTAAGCAACACTCTACTTTCTCATGCCTCCAGCTCTTTTCTGCATTGCTTTTTTTTTGGGGGGGTTGTGGGGCTTGAACTCCGGGCCTGGGCTCTGTCCCTCAGCTCTTCAGCTCAAGGCTAGCACCCTACCACTTGAGCCACAGCACCACTTCCGGTTTTCTTGTGGTTTATTGGAGATAAGAGTCTCACGGACTTTTTCTGCCCAGGTGATCCTCAGATCTGTTTCCTGAGTAGCTAGGTTTATAGCTATGAGCCACCAGGCACCCTGCTGCTGCTTATTTTAAAAATATGGCCCTCTTTCCTGCCCAGGCTAATGCCTTGACCACAATCTTCCTATTTTTTGCTTCTCCCAATAGCTGGGATGACAGGTACCTGCCACCACACTCAGCTTTATTAGTTGAGATGGAGCCTTGTGGACTTTTCTTCCCTCCCAGTCTGTTCTGGGATCCTCCCAATCACAGCCTCCCATATAGGTAGGAAAACAGGTACATACCACATGGTTAACAAAAAGGCCTCACATTTTTGGCTAGGTAGCCTTGAAATGTAATCCTTCTGATATCAGCCTCGCAAGGAGCTAAGATTACAGGTGTGAGCCATTGGTGCATGGCCCATGAATTTTTTTCTTTTTTTTGGGGGGGGGTCCAGTCGTGGGGCCTGAACTCTGGGCCTGAGCGCTGTCCCTCAGCTTTTCAGCTCAAGGCCAGCGCTCTACCAGTTGAGCCACAGCACCACTTCCGGCTTTTATTCTTTTTGCTTATGTGGTGCTGAGGAATCAAACCCAGGGCCTCATGCATACAAGGCAAGCACTCTACCACTGAGCCACCTTCCCAGCCCAAAGATGAAGAGACTCTTTTTTTTTTTGGGTGGGGGGTCCGGTCATGGGCCTGAACTCTGGGTCTGGGTGCTGTCCCTCAGCTCTTCAGCTCAAGGCTAGCATTCTACCACTTGAGCCACAGCACCACTTCCAGTTTTTTTTTTTCTGGTTATGTGGTGCTGAGGAATCGAACTCAGGGCCTCATGCATGCAAGGCAAGCGCTGTACCACTGAGCCACCTTCCCAGCCCCTGAACATTTTTTTCTTTTTTGGGGGGGGGGTTCTGTTGTGGGGCCTGAACTCTGGGCCTGGGCACTGTCCCTCAGCTCTTCAGCTCAACGCTAGCCCTCTACCACTTGAACTACAGTGCCACTTCCGGCTTTCTTTTTCTTTTTTTGCTTATGTGGTGCTGAGGAATCGAACCCAGGGCCTCATGCATTGCAAGGCAAGCGCTCTACCACTGAGCCACCTTCCCAGCTCTTTTTTTTCTTTTTGTCAGTCGTAGGACTTGAACTCTGGGCCTGGGCACTGTCCTTCAGCTCTTCAGCTCAAGGCTAGTGCTCTACCTCCTGAACCACAGTGCCACTTCCTGAATTTCTTTTTTGATACTACCTCATCTCCACAAGTTTCTTAAAGATTACTGGTAACATGCAATCTGAAACTATGTTAATGAACTTTTTGTACTCTGTTACATTAAAATGCATGACAATGATTTGTCTTGCCCTTTGTATAAATCTCTTTTATTCTTCTGGTCCTGGAGCTTGAACTCAGGGCCTAGGCACTGTCCCTGAGCTTCTCTGTACTCAAGGCTAGTGTTCTACCACTTGAGCCACACTGCCACTTCCAGCTTTTTCTGAGTAGTTTATTGAAGATAAGATTCTCACAGATTTTCCTGCTGGGAATAGCTTCAAACCACAATCCTCAAATCTTAGCCTCCTAAGTAGCAGGGAGTGAGTCACCAGTACCCTGCTTGCATAAATCTTTTATCAATGCATAAATCTATGGCCTCATCATTGGATATTGGAAAAATATTGGCTCACTGTGTTGTATGGATTGTCCAGTCGTTCACTGATTTTTTATGGAACACATTTATTCGTGTTGCCACACTGGGAAGACCCTAAGCCATGGGATGATATCCAGTTCATGGTGATAAAACAGTTTTCCAAAGACCTGATACTTGTTTGAAATCTCGAATTTACCATGGTGATACACAGTGTCAATTGTTTCCCTCAAGATGGCTCACTTTGTAAATTTCTGAGAAAGTATGTACCCAAAAAGCTGAGTCTCAGATAGCTTGTTTGCTGGTCATTTTCCTTCGAGGGAAAACAGTGTTTCCTGAAAGGAATCACTAGGTCAGTGCCCAGCCCAATTACACAGGGCTTTTTTTCCAGAGAACTATATTTCAGCATGCTATGGGATGATTTGATGAGGCTTTCCTTTTTGTATATTGAATATTTAAAAGATGTGTGCGCAAAGGCCAAGTGTAATAAAATGAGTAGCTCTGATCACTTCATGAAGAACGATCTCAACAATCTCAAGATTATTTTTCTACTGCAAGTTTGGAGCAGGGAGAATACCATCCATACCAACACAGTTTGGTGCTTCCTGTCTTGACTCTTGCTGACTCTAGCAGTCATCGTAAGATGCTTTGGCACCATGGGTGCCAATGAAAGAAACAAAGAAAAGGCAAATGAGGTCTTGTTAAATATTTTTGAGGTCACAGGCCACCAAAAAGGTGGCTACCTACATACAACATTTTGATCAGTGCTGGAAGAGAGGACTGTGAAGCGAGGGAAGCAGAGGGAGAGGGAAATCTGGAACCCTCAATCCGCCCTTCCAGGTGTTTCCAGAACACCCTGTGCATACTTCTGTCATGTTGTCTGCTACAGGGCAGCAAATCAATATGAAGAATAGCACACACTAAAGATTGAATCATTTGAATGACTGAAAGTGGTAACAAGCAAGCTTCTATTCACACCGTATTACTAGGACTTCTAAATGTTTCATGCCTGAAATCTTCACTATTCAGGTTGTTGAGATCTGAGAATCACAGTTCAAGGCTAGCTCCAGGGAAGCCCACAAGACTCCATCTCCATAACAACAGTAAAAGGCACTACTGGAAATGTAGCTCAAATGGCAGAACACCAAGCAAAAGAGCTCTAGGTCCTGAGTCCAAACACTGGCATTGAGGGTGGGGAGTAAGTTAATTAAAATAATTTGTAAATGTAACGCTAGAATAAAGTTTAAGGAGATACAATGGGGGCGTGAACGTATTCAAATACACTGCACACACTGACAGAATTACTTCAACAAAACCCCCTTACACTATTAATGTTAACCATTTAAATCTCTTAAAAAATCATTGCCAAAAAAAAAAAATCATAGGGTCACTAAGCATGAATAAACCTAACTTCATTTTGTTCTTCCTGTATGTTTCTCTAAAACACTTCCCCCCCTCTTTTTTTTTTTTATTCCAGTTTTGGGTTCTCCTGGGTACCATGTTCTTTTGGAGCCGAATTGAATATTAAGCATGAAGCCTCACCACCATACCTCCTTCTAGTGGCTCTGGACTGGTGCTGGAACCTGCTCCCTCCTCCTAGTCTCCATCGGAGCTCAGCAGTAACAGGTGCAGGTCTTACACTGCCAAGTCAGGGGATGTAGAGTTCCTCTACACACTTGGGGGTTTGTATTCTCCATATCTTTCATCCCGGTCTAAGATTCTGCTATGATTTCTTGGACTATAATACAGAGAAGATTTAGAAAGAAGAGACTACTTCTGTCGACCCTGTGTATTTTTAATTTGGGAGTGTAATGACATTCAACAAATCCAGTTTGCACTTGCATCGCCAAGATGAATAGCAAACAGCCTATATTTCTCAATGTTTCCTTCCCTGATTTCTGTTTATCTCAGTTCTGTCTGAGGGGCCCGGAAAGGGGGGGGGGGTTGGAGAAGGAAAAGATTTCCAAAATGTATCTTCTGCCTTTGCTCTACAGTGGCCCTTGTCTACTGAGACTCTGGGGGGTTCTCAGATGCCACCTTTAGACTTCCTTCTTCTCCAGAACAATCCCTGATCTCTAGTTGACACTGGTTCAAATTACTTCCCTTGCTTTACAGAGTGATCTGTGTTGTTACCTCCATTCTCCACTAATTAAAAAGTATGTAGGCTTTGGGGGACAGAGGAGAGGTCTATTACGTATTGACTCAGCCCTGACCCTGAATGATCTCAACTTAAAACAGGTGAGACGCAGGCCAGCTACTTGACTGAGTGATCTAGGGGGAGCTTTGTTTGCTGTCAAAATACTCTTCTGAATGGTTCCCATTTATGGTCCAGAAGGAAGGTCTCTATCTCACCACTTTGTTTGCTTAAGGCTTATAAATCAAGTGGGCTTTGCCACATGTCCACTTCCTTTTATTTCTACCAGTGTCAAAATGGCTCCTTCTCAGCCTAACAAAATAGGGTTTCCAACAGAAGGGCCTCATTGGTGGGGATTAAAGGGGAGAGGATGGAGATTCACACAGGACATCTACCCTACCACACTGTGCTGGGAAGCATCTGGGTCTCCGGGCATAGACTTGAAGTACCCATGCTGAGGATGTCTGTCAGATCCTTTCCCTTCAGTGCTTGGAGGCCATGGGCACACCTCTAATGCCAATAGCTCACTGAGTCCCTGAGGAAGGAAACATACTCATCACCTATGGACAGCCGACTCAGACACAGGAAGCGCCTCATATATGCATATGTGCCCTGCCAGCTTTCTGTGAGTTCATCTGAGGGCTGAGGCAGGGGAAGGCAGCAGGAGGAGGGGAATCTGTGGCAGGTATTTGACACCTGATCACTAGGGGCTGCCCTGTCCCAGCGGCCTTGCCTCTCCAGGAAGGTGGTATGGGATAAATGGCACCTGTACTTGGCTGAGGAAGTCCTCTGTGGTTTTTATAGGAAAGGGGAGGGGAGAGGAAGAAAGGGAAGGGGAGAAGAGAGGAGAGGAAGAACATACTGGGCTAAGCTTTTCGCACCCCGGCCACACTCTTTTTCACCTGATTGCTTTTTTTAAGTAAGGTTTTCAGTCCCCCGGGGCCCTCCACTGTCCCAGCCCAGCTACTGTTTTCCCTCCCAGCACTTCAATGTTCCAAAGTGCTCTCTACCTACAAAATCCACTTCTCCTTGTGATTGGATCTTAGCCAAGTCAAGAGAAAGCCTCTTGGAAAACTAAGTCATGCTTAGGGGTGAGTGACAACTAGTTCACATTGTTTATTTCTGCTATTTTCCCCTTGATTATGGACTGGATGTCTAGTTGGTGGCAGACACTGCAAGAGGAGTGACAAAGAACTACTACAGAGTAAGATGGCCCACCTGCTGCTCCTTAACTCTTTATCACCAGACTTTCCTACCAAGAGAGAACCAAGGGGAAAACAGGGCCTTCAGTAAGCCCCTGTTCCCTGCTCCTCTCCAGTTAGTTTCCTGCCTAGAGCCTTAACATCATCCTTCATGGATGGTCATGGATGATACCAACCCAACCCACACCAGGCCAGACTTTGAACCCAAGCACCCACCATGGCCAAGGTGCTTTTCAGCCAAGATGGCTGGAGGCTGGAGGGCCCCCCTGCAGGGTCCAGCCATTGGAATTCCCCAGTTGACCACTGTGTGATCTTCAGGTTGACCTCGGGGCAGTTTCTGTTCTGCTAGTTCTGACTTCCATCTAGGTCTTCTTCCATAAAGGCATGCCTTCGTCTCCTCCTGCTCACTCCTGGGACTGGAAATGGGGCTCACTAAAAAACCCCAAGCCCCCGAGCCACAGATTAGGAGAACCCAGAACCAGCCGTTCCCGACCAAGAAGGCACATAGATCTGGGGAGCTGACAGGTAGCTGGGCCTGAGACATCCAGACAAGGCAATCTGGTGACCCTTCCCTCTTTCCCAGCAGTCTACCTGCTGCTCAGATGGTGGGGGGGAATGATTTTGCAACCCCTTACTTGATCACCACACCAGATGAGTTACCTCACCCTCTCGTTTGGCCATTTCCTTCACTAGATAGCTGCTCAGGCTCCTGTCAGATTGTTTATGTCTAACATGTGAAAGCATGCTGCTCATGTATGTCAGCCTAGACATTTTTTCCTCCATCAGCTGGAATGAACAGGATCAGATGTGAGGTTCCCAGGGAAGCCACCTCAGCACACAAGTGGGAGGGGCCACTTCACAAGCCAGGGTGTCTAGGATGAGGCTGACTTGGGAACACACCAACGAATGCTATGTTGCTTCCACTTCCTGCAGTAAGCTGAATGACCAAATCTATGGGTACAAATTTACTAGCCATCAAGCAGTTACCATGAGTAATAGCTTTTCAGTCAAACTCCTACTCAACAGTGGAAGAATGCACTAGGCCTTCTCAGATAAGGCCTTTCAATCTCAAGTCCTCTGTATCGCTTCTAGAATCCTAGCAACAAAATGAGACCTCTGGGCAATGAGAACGTCACCTTCCACAGTGATGTTCTGGGGGAAAACACAACAGCAGTGTTCAGATGGACCTGAACTCAAACCCTAACCTCCCCTTACCAACTTTGGGAAGTTAACATAGATTTGTGCACACACATCTACACAGACACATACTTGCATAGCTATTGGAAAGTTAAAGTTTAAATAACTCAGGAAGGGGTATAGGGTGTAACTCAATGTACAATGCTTGCCAAGAATATGCAAGGCTCTGGGTTCAATTCCTAGTACTGAAATATTACTAAATTTTTTAAACAGACACTAATACAGAGCAAGCATTGATCATGTTCTACTCTTCAACATATGTGCCAAGTTCCAAAATATCTTTTCCTCTAAGTCACTTACACACACGCACAAATACACACACACACACATCATAACTGCACTGAAGTTCAACATTTATTTGAATAATTGTCAATGGAGCAATGGAGCCTGTAGCAGGCTGGGCTGGGCCCCTGATCCACTCCTTTGTGTGTATACTAGAGACCTATGGGGACCTCTTGGCAGGTATTACATGGCTATCCCCATGTTTCAAACCAATGAAAGTAAACAGTTTCACATTTCTTGGTGAACTTACACAAGTCCCCAAATATTCTCCATCATGTAGGAGAAGCCAGTGCCTCCCTTCAGGTACTGTTTGATACATGAGACTTGATAAAGTGGTTGCTTCAAGGCTATCAGAAAATGCCTTTCATCTCTCGACTGCACTCACAGAGTATTTTGAGGTTCCCAGGAAACCCATTCAATTGGGGCATGGGTAAGAGAGCCAAGAGTAGAAAACTAGAGTGGAAGTTCAAAGAAACCAGATGAAAGTTTTAAGTGTACATCTTAAGATCCAGAAGAAATCAAATCTCTGCAGGAACTTACATTCAGGAAAACTACTGCAAAGAATGAAGCAGTCCCAATGAAAGCAAATATGGTGTCATGCTTGAAATCAGAAGACTCCAATTTGCCTTTGGCTCTGCCATTTCCTACAAGGTATTTCTAGCAATGACCTACCTGTTCAAGACTTCCACTTCCTCATTTGCCCCCTCTTATCTCAGAAGCCTGTCACATCAATAAAGTGTGCATAAAAACATCATAATCTGTAAATACCATAAACATACATACTAATCCAGTATGCAGTAAAAAACAAAAAACTACAATGTAGCCACTCTAGAAAGTTGTGTTCACAGAGTCTATACCTATATAATCCTGAGTAATGACAGCAGGTATAACTGTCTTGACAATATTCAAAATATTTGGTCTCTTTATTACAACTGAGTATGACAAAATACACTGGGCAAGAATTGGGCCATAAACTCTACATGTTAAGTGAAGTAAGTCAGGTCCAGAGAAACAAAGGATCCACATTTTCCCTTATATGTGAAAGCTAGATTTAGCTTACAATCTCATAAGTAAATATGTTGGGTTGTATGCAAATGCATACAAATGTATTAACTGAAATATGGTAGCTCTCAATAGTGTAATTCCTTAGAAAGCCAAAATCAAAGTTCAGCAAAATAAAACTCTGGGAAGTAGGTACTCAAAAGGGGTAGGGTATAGTTAAGGGGAAAAGGATAGACAGATGAAAAGCAGAAGAGGGGGGAAATGCAAACAAGAATTGAACATATATCCTACAAAATTAAGAAGAGGTAGGGAAGGGATGGTGACACTGATCGAGATATATTGTATTCATAAATGCTTTGTTAAATGACAACTTCTTTGTACAACTACTTAAAGATAATTTTAAAGTTTTTTAAAGCCTATGAAATTATCTTCTACCTCAAGAATTTCCTAACCAGTTGTTAAAGGGACTTATACAACTTCCTAAATAAAGATCCAGAAACAACAAATCAAAGAAAGGCTGGATAAGTGGGATTGCATTAAACTGCAGAGCTTCTGCATGACAAAGGACATAGTTAGCAATATAAATAGAAAGCCCACAGTCTGGGAGATCTTCACTAGCTATACAACAGACAAGGGCTTCATATCAAAAACATACCTAGAAGTCAAGAAATTAACTCCCCAAAAAACAAATCCTCAAAGAACCAGCCACCCCATTAATAAGTGGGCTAAAGAATTAAAAATAAGAATAGACAATAGACACAAGAAGAAATGTTCAACATCTCTGGCCATAAAAGAAATCCAAATCAAAACTACATTGAGATTCTACCTAACCCGGTTAGAATGGCCATTATCAAGAAAACAAATGATAACAGTTTCATGTTAAAGGTTAATGGTGACAGTCCCAGTGGACAAT